AGATAGATAGATAGATAGATAGATAGATAGATAGATAGATAGATAGATAGATAGATAGATAGATAGATAGATAGATAGATAGATAGAATGTATTAATTGCTCGGGAGTTCCTTTCATGGAAAAAAAAGGAAAATATTGTCATAATGTTGAGAGAATATCATCAGTCATCCAAAAAGTTTTAATTACTGAAATGTTCGGCTACTTCTAGCCTGTTTTAAACACGTCCTCATTTTGGTTTGCTGCCCCTAGTGACTGGAATGAATAGCAAAAAAAAAGTGCAGTACATGCGTCCCATGTAGTTTTTTGTTCACTAACTCATCACAAACAATATTTTGACTGGGGATTTCCTTGCTGACTGCTAAGAAAGAGAGTAGTAGGATTTCTTTAACTATAACTGTTGTTGGTTTGTGTTTTCTGCCCTTTCGGACACGTTGTTGTTAAATTTATAAATTTGGATTTGCTTCCTAAATAACTTAGATGGTTAAATAAAGGTTGAATAAATAATATATAAGTAAACTGTGGCATCACTTTTACAACATCATAATGACGATGTAATGCTTGGCTGTGCTGTGATCTACCACTTAATCTTTAGCCCTTCATTAATGATGAAAAGCTGTCCCACTGTGAATGCTACGCTGAATTAATTAAAAACAAAAAATCAAGTTAATTAGTTAATTAATGTCACGTTATTTTTTAAAAAACATTTCTCAAATTTATTTAACTCATTTGAGCTGCGTTACCAATCAGTCATCAATATGTATGAACTCCAGCAGCAGCTGAAATGTATTTTACAGCTCAGGAATGACAGCAGGGCCCCACATGGCTCTGACAGATGTGATCAGCTGAGCACTCTGAGTGGTTTGCAGTTTTAATGGCCGCCGAAGTGTAACATGACTGAGTCTAAAAGCAACCGACGAGCAACCCCTAAAGGCTGACGTGAGGCCTACGCCCGACACAGACCGACAAAACGACATTAACAGACCAACATCCTGCTCTGTGTGTCCAGCTCTTTGGACCAATTATATATAAAACCTCAAATATGGAGCATGTGTTTGCAATGATTTGAGAAGAAAAAGAAGTTTTAACTTAAGCATATGTGAAATGGAAATCATGTACATACACAGTGAGAACAGCACCAGTGCCTGCTATCACGCGGATCCTCTCCTGCTGCTGCTGCTGCTGCTGCTGCTGCTGCTGCTGCTGCTGCTGCTGCTGCCACCTTTCCATTATTCATGACAACAGGGAAAGGGAGCACTTACTGACTTACTAGCCTCCATCTTCTTCTGCTGGAAGGTAGACAGAAAGAGAACAGTTTGTGTGCTGGCAGGTGTGTGTGTGTGTGTGTGTGTGTGTGTGTGTGGTGGGACAATGAACGCCGGACACTTTAGGGGTAGAATTTCCCATTCAGAAAACAAATATGAGCAGACTTACTCTCACTGTGAATCAATAGACAGCCATCAGTCAAGTGGAGGAGCCCACCACCCATCCAACTTTGCAGCTGTAAACAGAGAGAGAGAGAGAGAATGAGAGAGAGAGAGAGAGAGTACAACAGAGAGGGATATCCATTGTCTCTTTGTCTTTTTCATTTGACTTTTTATTCTTCTGATAATGAACGAGCCGTGAGTTTTTGTTATTATATCCTAAATCTTCCCTCTCCTGTTTCATTGAGCCTTTCATTCCCAAACACACAGAACACGCAGTGTTTTCTGAAGGGGACTTCCATCGATTAAAGATGCTGATGTTGCCTTTCTCTGTGATGCTGAAGCCAGATCAATAAAACCTCCGATGGGACTGTGTTTGTGCCGCGGCTTCACGCTGCAGCCCGGGATGTGAGAAATTTATCCTTGTGTGTGAAAAATGAATGTACTTTTGCCGTCAGTGGATCAGACGGATGTGGAGCCTAATTAACTTTTGCGGATCTTTAAGTAAATCTCTCCCTTCGCCGTGATGTATTTAATCTGCTGCAGCGATTTGTCATTGTTTTTTTCCTATGAATGACAGCTGGGAGACAATACATCCGGACAGATACAAATAGATCCTGCAACAAACAAAAGCATTTCAAAGGCAGAGAGGGATGAGCTGTGGGTCAGTACGCCCCCTAGTGGCTGTGGCATCAGTATAAAAAAAGGCTTTTTGCTGATTGTTGGCTGATTGTTAAATTAGATTTTTGTAATTTTATTACCATGCCGGTGTTATACGTCATGTTAGATTGTGACCATTATTGGAATTGGTTTGGCAGCTGACATAGACTAGCTGTTTTTGTTTTTGTTTATTTCCTACCTTTGTAAAAGCTTTTTTTATTTATTTATTTGTTTTATGTAACACTGAAACATGTGACATCACACCAGAGACAGGCGGCAGTCTGTGTTTTTGCTCGCTCTCTCTCTCTCGCTCTCTCTCTGCAGTGTAATCTCAGCTCAAATAAGGGCAGCCCCAACTCTGTACTGACACAGTATTGGGCTGTAAATACTAGTCTAAGTGGTGTATATTCACTGACATGGATTATTGATGAAGCAAGAAGCATAAAAAAAGTTGGGTTTTTCCGCCTCTATTTCAGACTGCTTTGTATCACAAACCATTGCATTTGTAAAAAAAAACAACAAAAAAACAAAAACAAAATAAACCCAATAGTACATGATGTCATTATTTATGCATACTACTTTCTGCTAATTAAACCCATTCTTCGAGAGGAGAAATTAGTTCAAATATCCGTTGCTCCACAGCGACACCTGAATTCAGCACCAGAGACAGTTCCTCAAATTATTATCCCTGTTTAGAAACAAAAATATTCCACGACAAATGGATAACGCATTATTACATGACCAAGTTTATATTCACGGCCAGTTTACTTACTACAAGTTCATCACATGCATCTGCTCAACAGTTCATTGTGATATTTATAGAAAAAAAACAAAAGAAACGACCCACAGCGAGACAGACTCCGGCTGTGTTCACCTTTACACATTTATCCACAAATAGCTCTGCTTTGCAATCCATTATTTTCTCCTTTGATCAGCTAGAGCTTGTGTTACATGAGGCATTGCTCACTTGAAAACAAAGAGCAGGAAAACAGCACCAGTGGCACTGAGATCACTATGATAGATGCATGGAGTCGCACCGCAGAGCAGGCAGCGTTGTTCTTTAATGCTGCGGTGTTCGGGGTTTTAACTCACCACAATGTGGATTTATTGTCTGGTGCTGGAACAAAGACACAGCTTTATTCAAGTATTTACGGTCAGACCTCGGTAGTGTTACAGTAAGAGATGATGAACTGCACATCGGTACTCGGTATATACGGTAATCTGCATATTTTGTTGCTGTCTATATGTAAGACCTGTGTTGGTTTTATTTAAGTCAGGCACCAAATGACTGGATAGGACATTGATTGTTGATTGAAAATAAAGCCACATCGAATATAAGCCCTCTAGTGGAGTGGTGAGGTAATGCAATGGAAATCACTTGGAACGCCCAGTAACGTGGTGCTCAGGCATAAACATACATTCATTAACATTCATTACCTCTACAGCCAATGCACCACTTTGTACTCCCTTTTGTCCAATGAAAGCTGTGCTCCACTCCAGACCAAACGCAAGAGCCTTAAATACATAAATCGACTAAAGATAAATGATCGGTTAATTCCAAAAGGATTCAAAGCTTTCATTTAGCGTCTTGTCTTTACAATTAGGAGAGACAACGCTAAATAATAAAATGCACGCTATCACTTATTTATAGGGCGGCTCACGAGAAATTCGTAGAGTATATGCACATGAATATGCATGTTGGCCATGTACACAACACAGTGTTTTATGGTTATGTTTCCATATCCATATATGCATTACTCATGCAGTCCACAGACTGCTTTATGATAGGTCCGCTGGAGAGTCACACAAGCCTCTGATACAGAGATTCATGAAAAGATTTTGGTGTGAAGACAGAAGGCTGGAATTATCGTTAAAAACTGGACTTTTACGTTTTAAAATAAAGATTTATATCTTAATGTAACTAATAATCTAATAATAAATAAAGACTCTCATCTGATTGTGATAATAAAACCACCACAAAATATACAGACTTCCATTTTTCTAATCTTTCTGTCACCGTGCAGTTTCATGACCGAGGGTTTTCCACAATCTAATTTAAACCAACCAAGCAGAACGGACCACGGTGCTGTCAGCGTCAGTCGCCGTTTATCAATTACAATTACTTATACATATACACATATCATCCTGTGGCTGCGGCTGCATGAACCAATGAAAATCCAGGAGCAAAATAATAAACAGTATAACTCTTCTCCATATTTAATAAATCATCCTTGGATTTCTATCTCTTGTTCTTGTCAACAGTTCTTGGATTTAAATATTATTGAATATAATTTATATATATATATATATATTTATATATATATATAATAGTACTTAAAATAATAATTTATTCTCAGGTTTTCAGGGTTTTAAATATTTAAATTTGCCAACAAAGTCTCACTGTGGAGCAAGTAAAAAAAAACAAAAAAAAAAACTACTGCTTTCATTTGCATCTAAAAGTCCTTACTCAACAATGACAATACATTTCATCTGCATATATATTTGATTTTCTCCAGTTGGTATCAAGCCATAATTAAATCAACCATTTGCATGTAACTGATATCCTGTTCTGGGCTTGAAGAATTATTTTAGACAACTTTTCATTTTCCATCAAATCACTACAACATCTTGTTGTCAGGCGATCCGGGCTTGAAGAATTATTTTAGACAACTTCGTATGCTGTTCCTGGAGCGGCGGAAGTGTTTGTCTGTATGTGCGGATATTTGTTATTTTCAATATTACCTTGTTGTGCAAAGTCGCTAACACATCGTCTCGCGTCTTATCTCTATGTAGTCTCTAGTTTTTCTATTGTTTGGTTATAAATCTCATTATAATTACCAGTGGCAAAAAGACAGAGGGGAGGAAAGAAAGTAGTAGCACCAGGGAAATTCAACCAGTTTTATCCTAGGGCAGGGGTTAAAGTGAAGACTTTTTGTAGTACCGTAATTGTCCATCAGTATGTCTATTAGGATTGGTGCCTCTACTTTAGCTAACACAGTTTCTCTGTATTTCTTGCAGTCCAGAAACAGTCTGCAGTCTGGGGACATCGACGGAGCCAGGCGACTCGGACGTCTGGCCCGTATGCTCAGTATCGTCTCCATTGTCCTGGGCATCATCGCCATAGTGGTCTTTGCCTCGGTTTCAGGTATGTTAACACACACTGTACCATAATTGAGAGTTTAATTACAAATGGTACTCAACAGGAGCCGTAAGGAGAAGAAAGGTCCTACATTTGCCACTACACGACCACCTTTACACCTGCCACTCTTCTTATTGGTACAACTGCATGAATCACAGGTTAGCTTAGCTGAATTGTCAAAATAGACCTGACAACAGGTGAAAGACGCAGGTTCTACAACCCGGGAAGACTGATCACAGTAACAAGACACAGGGAAGATAATGGAAAAAACAGGTCTCACCATAGGAAAGACTTTAAGGCAAGCTGGGGATTTGAACGCACTGTTTACGTTTTTATGTTAAGCAGCATAAAGAAACAGTTATGTTTTTCGGACAGTAGATATAGTCAGCCAAGAGAACTTGAAAAATGCAATTGCCGGCAGACAACAGTAGGGATGAAGCTAAACCCATTAAAAAAAATACAAAAAACCTGTTGACTACATACATTGTCGAATTGCAAAAAAAGAAAAATGGCAGGTTGTGGGGAGGTATTTGAAGTTTTGGGCTGCAGCAAAATATATTTTTACGCCATGACAAGAAATACAATGACAATGAATGTATCAAATGACAACAGCTAGGCATGATGTAGGTTCAATGCTGCATTTCCACACATTATGATGAGGATTTAGTCAGGATTTAACACAAACACACACTTCTCCATTTTGTAAGACTGTTAGGAAGCAGCTTCTTGCACCCAAAAGTATTTTGCAGGAAATCCTAAAAGTGAAGATGTGACCTCCACAGAACATCATCAAGTGTATCTGGGATTACATGAAGAGACATTCACGGAACAACGCCAATTCTGTTGTTAGCTCTCTAAGATGTTTAAAACACACCGTCTGCTGAATTACCTCAAAAAAGAGTATTGATTTAACTTCACATGTGGTCATTCTCTGGACAATTTTCTCATGAATAAAAATGAAATTTTACACCTATGTACTCTATCCGAGTTGTTCTCAAAGCGGGGGATGTGCCCCCCTTGGGGCGGGCAGGGACATTACAGAGAGTGGATGAATGCAGCAGGGAATTTCAATATTGTCTTGCAGTGAAGGAACTGTCTATAATGGTTTGGGAGCCACTACTTCACTGTGTTTGCAAAAACCTCTGCACAGACACACGTGAAGCACAAACAGGTGTCAACAGAAAAAAGACACCGACTGCACAACAGTTACCAAGCGATATACGACACTACTATGGGGGCGTGAGATACTGTGTGTGTGTGTGTGTACTTGTTACTATATTCGGCGTACTTCTAAGCCATGTACTTTATGTATGTTTACGTTTCTCTCAGCCTGTTAACTTTACAGTCCATTTAAACCAACTCTGACTTTCTCTGTCTTTGTTTTAATCTGTTTCACAGCAAGCAAGTGACATGGAGGAGCCCGACGCTGGAGGAAACTACGAAAGCTAATTCATGGCTGTAACAGAAAGAAAATAATTACAATTGTACATTTAAAGATATGTCAATAACTCATCATGTCCATCCACACAATCGAAAAACACCGAGAGTAAGTCTTGCAACAAGTAAAGAAAAGTTTAAAAAAAATACATATATATATAAAAATTCAGAGATGCATGCATTAAAATCCAGTAACTTTTGCTTGAAGGAAAAGAGAAAAAAAAAACCCTGAAGTGAACTTGTTCACGTTAAAGGGAGGATGCCAATCTTTTGGTGGATATAAGAAACAGTTGCACCTCTTGTTAGAGTGAAGGACTTCTGAAGGGAAGACTCTGATCCACATGTATGAGGAGAGGGTGAAAGATGGACTTTTTTTCTACGTGTGGAATGCGACGCAGTGTGATTTTGGACCTGAGAGTTTGGACAGCGGCACATAACCTTAATATAGTCCTTACAAACCTCTTGCATTCAAAGCATATACAGAATCATGGATATAAGGACATATAATTATATATATATATACATATATATATGTACATTTTTTTTAATTGTTTGTATGCCACGTGGTGCTGGGTTGGTTAAGGTCGACACAGCTCTGTGACTGCTCTGTCAGCACTTGGAATGTCAGTGGAAAACTCAAGAGTTTGTCTAAAAGGGGGGCAGGGAACACCGTTTTTTAATTTCTGATTTATTAGCAAAAACAAAAAAAACCTGAGACCAAGTGCATGCCTGAATGTAAATAACTAACCCTATGCCTTCGTTTGGATTCTGTTATGGCGTCTTTTTCGTATCAAGGGCGGATTTGCACATGAAGAGTGATGTGTACATTAGTGAGTGCAGCCGCAGCAGGATGTGTGAGAAGTTCATTTACTCTGAAGGACACACAAGTGCACGCCAAATGTTTCTTCACCCATGAAATGTTTTTTCTCTCTCTCTCTCTCCTTTCACACCCTCATCGTTGAACAATGTGTCAGCTGTCTTTCATCTCTTTATCGTCTTCTCCTAAACATGACTTAACTTTGGCTTCACTTTCACACGATACAGTTTTTATTTAACAACGTTAGACAACTGCTTGGCAAAAGAAGGTCACCATATCCTTCAGCTGTGAAAGTGACACAAATTTCTCCTAGGCTCCTGTTTGGATGAGCTTCATTTTTTTAGTTTTAATTTTTAGCTTAAGGCTTGAAAAAGCAATCAAAAGCTGAAAAAAGTCTTACTTAAAACTGTTGACCACAATGTAACAATTTTATTAACAAAGACTAATTGTAAGATCAGACTTTCATCAATTAAAAAAAAAATCTTGTTTTTTATTGTACCCAGACTAGAGGTTCCCAACCACTGGGCCGAGGACCAGTATCGGGCTGCATAGCATAGGACTTCCATCCACTCCTTTTTTCAGCACTTTGCAGTTTTTTTCCATGTACTGGTAATCCCTCAAACTGACTGAACAAAAAAGTGGGGAAAACAAAAAGTCAAAATACCAAGGGTCCTAAAATGAAAGTGACTAATATAAAATAATATTAACATTATATATGTAACCAATAAATGATATATGATGCAGAATTGTATTTTATCATGTGCAGGACCTGAGCTCACACACACACACACACAAACACCCCTGCTGCTGGTCTGTGGAAAAACTATCTGTGGAAAAAAACTGGTCTGTGGTGAAATAAAGGTTTGGTGACCACTGCTTTCGACAATAACACTGCCCCCACTGGTTTATACGTTAAGCACTTTACAAGACGGATGTCAATCGCTTAATTCTAAGCTCTTTTTCTTCAACAAAAATGTCAATCTGAACCAATCGGACTTTTTTATATTGCTCCAATCTCCCTTCTCTCTCACAATTTAGACTTGGTTTTAACTGAATATACGCCAGAAGCCCTTCCTAACGCAACCAGACCTGGAAATGGAAAGGAATCAAACCTTCAGAGTGACACGCAGGAATCCTACTACTGCACCAGTCTAGCCTTCCTCACTCCTCCTTTTTTGTTTATTTATGAATGAATGATCATTCACATTTCTACTTAGTAAAAACTGGGCGGTGACATTTCTGGCTGCGTGGTGTACATTGACTGTAAAATACCATCAATATTTCAGTTTCTCGCTCCTTGGATTGTTATGCAATGTATTTATAACGGAAGCTATATATGCAATTATACGCATGCTGGGGGCCGCACTGCCTCGCACATTAATAATTATATTTTTTTTTGTAAAAGTGCCAGCCTGTGATTTTACATGAGAAACAAAAAGCATTTATAGAGTACTTCTTTAAAAACAAACAAACAAACTCAAAGCACGACAGACTTGCCTGTATTTGTCAGTTTATCCAAGAGAGAAGTGATGCCCAGTGTAGAATACACAGGACTGTTAGTACAGGCTTAGAAGCACAGGTGACATCGCTGTAAAGGAGATCACACGCATTCTTTTAAGCCACAGTTTCTCTTCAGGCATTACGTGTTTTTTTGTTTGTTTGTTTGTTTGTTTGTTTGTTTTTTTCAGTCACTTGTTTCGTTCGAGTTGTTCTTCGTTAAAGGGCTTATTAAAAACAACACCAGCTTATTAGAACAAAAGAGAAATTCAATTCGTCAAGACTATGCAGCTGCACTGAAACTGAGGTAAAACAACCAAACAAGCTGATTAAACTCCACCTAGCACACAGTTCTGGTTTCATCACAACTCCATTCCAACTAAATATCAAACATCAGAAAGCAGCAAAATCCAAAGAATGCTCATGTTTACCAACAACCTAAAAAAAAAAAAACCTTTCATCCAATCGCTGTCGAAAGGCACAGTGTAATTTCTGTTTAACACATCGAGTACAGTTGAACTGTTTTGTTGTACATTAAAAGCGTGTGAACATAAAGGTCGGGGTCAACTGACCGTGAAGCCATGAGGTCTGGACTGTTGGCAATCTGTTCAATTCAGACTTTAATTTCTCTCTTTTTAAATCACCGTGTTTCTTTAACAGTGTGTTGTATTTGTCACTTTTCATCTCTGTACTGTACATGTTGCATGTCTGGAATAAATGTTACCATGCATGGTCCACGTGTAGCCTCTCCACTGCTGTGTTGGGAACCACTGACAACCTGCTGCTCCGGTGCTGCTGAGGGACCGACTAAGTGTTTTCCTCCTACGGATTAACACATTTAGGTTAAAACAGCAGTTGTTTTTTTTTTAATCAAAACTAAAAATGTGCAAAAACAGCAATATAGAGGTACTTAACTGAAATATCAAAATGCCAGCTTTTCCTGGGTGAGATATTAAAGAGAGAGAATGAGGACAAGAAACCAAATTTATCCTTTTCAGGTCAGTCAAGAGAGAAATTTTTTTTAAGTTGAGTTTGAAACTGAATCTGTGCAAAAAAAAAAAACATTCATGGATCTCTTACTGCTGAGTTGTTTCCTTCACATCCAAGGTATAGGGTACCTTTCCATCCTGCTCGAATCGTTCTCTTTTCATAACATCTCAGTATAAGAACAGGTATAACATCTGGATCAAACAAATCTTTTTTACAAACTCTTAATATCGGCTCCAACAATTTCACTTTCTTTTTTTTTATTATCCCCTGATCCTGTATCTTTCCTATTCTAAACTTGTTACTGGCCTCACTTCCAATACTTAGTATGGCTACAACTACAGCCTTTATCACCTTAAACTGCTGCAAATCCTTTGCTACCAATGTCTGGGCCATTGCTAAACGTAAAGTACTTTATTATGGATCATGAAAAGCAGCAGACAATCTTAAGCACTCATTAATGCATATTAGAAACAATTTAGCTTTTGTCAACAATCCTCTCTGATCCCAGATCTTAAATCATTTAAACATCAAAAAAAAAAAAAACCTGATCAACATGCAAACTGCAATAATGAAAAGAAATCCAAAAAAAAAAACCTGATCAACATGCAAACAATAATGAAAAGAAATCCGTGTAAGACTTGGATATTACTATGTTTGAGCATTTTCTCTACCATTAGCTGTAGACCCTGAAGTGATTTTTAATTTATTCTTAAACCTTTAAATGTTTATGTATTAACCGCTTCCTCAAAATGATAGACATTGCTGCCCAAAAGACTGTCACATTTATGAAAAATACCATAGAACAACATGGAGCTAAAATAGTTTTTATGAAGTAGAAAACTAGCTGGAGTTGGCTCCTACTGCTCTTCCACTGTGACGTGTGAAGAGACAGATAGCTGAAGAGGAAAAGAAGGAAGTCATATATTAATTTAATCCATCAATTAATTTATCAAGCCTGTGCTCAGCTTTACTCATTTATTTTAGAATAAAATAATGTATTAGGAGATCTGTATGTACTAGCGTTACACACTCTGTCTGCACATTTTATGAATAATTTATTAATTCACATTGTACAGCCCAGAATTTAGAGATTAAAAAGGACCATTCAACTAAGAAACTTCCACCTGTGAAAAGAACGAAGCATCACAGTCTCTCCACGGATCGATTTGTTGTCTCCCGGTAAGTTATCAATATATTTGTTTTTAAAAACCTGCTCTGGTATTTACTTTTGGTCTCCGTTTCCTTCATGGCTGAAGAGCTCCCAACCACCAGCTGTTCCTGTTCGTCCCACTGTTAAATACAAGTTCAGGAGGTTCATGCTGGACAAAGACAAAGTCCTTCCACATCCGGGCTCCTTCCTTACACTCAGCTCATTCACCGTAGTCTTCCATAATATCCACCGCACGCCTGATGCTGCTGCAAAGCCTCGGTGTCTTTCAGTGAAAAGCGTAGAGGAGGAGGAGAATGGTGCAGACACCGATCACTGAGCCCAGGATGAGGGAGTCCCGTCGCTTTCTCAGGTTGACTCTTTGGATGAGATTGTTGATGGCGGGGAAACGGTCTGAGAGAGTTACAAGTCAAGGAACTTCACAAGTATGATCAATAGTCACTTTTAGAAATTGTATAGAAATGTATCTATACCTGTGAGGTATAGAAAAGTAAACTGAAGTCAAGAAATTAAGTCAGTGAAGAAATTAGCTCTTAGCTAATTTAAGGGGCAAATCTGCTAATGTCAATCCTTTGGTGGAAGGATTCGGTGGCGCAATCTGGTAAATTATGACAAAAGACGTGACACAATCGGATGCATTGTACAAATACCCAAAGGTTGAAAAAGTACTAAAATTGCAATTAAGTAAAATCTAAAATTACCTATTCCCAAAACTACTTAAAAAATTACAAATTACTTACGAAAACTACTCAACTACAGTAATGCGAGTAAATGTAATTTGTTTATTTTATACCTCTGCAAAAGCGGCTGTGTTTATCCAACTGATGTTTGGCCAAAAAGTAAAAGTCACATCGGTACATTATCCTGGGCACTTTGAAATAAGGACTTTTACTGGTTTATAACTGGATGAGTTTCTATTACAGCGCCAAGAACCAGCAACATTTAAAATCTAAACATCTTGAACCGTTAATCTCACACAGAGAGCATCAAGGATACTGGCCAGTGTGTTGACCCTGCTCTGTATCGACTTCAGCAACCCCCTTTGGGAGGTCATGTTCTCCTTGGTCGCCATGGCAATACTAGAAAGACAAAGTGTAATAAGATTGGAAGTGAACATGTCAAATGTTGCTGCAGTGTGCAGCTAAGGTGACAAACGGATTCCCATCATAATACCAGAGGAAGCCCAAGTACCGTTAGACCTACAAGCTCCATCATTTGAGAACCACTGAACTGGAGCTCTGAACTGCAGACCAAGATTAGATTAATATCACCGTGATGTTTGAAAGCAACTCCCATTAAAGACGCCAAAATAAAGATGAACAGTTAAGACTAAACTCCTTCAAGAGGATTTTCTTTAGGTTGTCTCTGTTGTATTTGATGTGTCCACACTTGGGTGGCACTTGAGTTTATCTAAGGAGGGTGCAATGTTACTGTGATACCACAGCCTCAGCAACTTTCAGCACAGAAAAGTATACCTGGACACTTGGCAGGAAAAGTTTAAAGCTCTGCGCACACTTTCTGTGGCATCTGTTACACACACTAATCGATCGGAGGTTCCAAGCAGACTTAAGACTCACACACTGTCTGCAGAGGAATCAGTCTGCCAGACTGCACCTCAACACATACATATAATAACTGCATGCTAAATAGTTAAAGGTAGCACATTTTTAGATCACTTTATCTGAGAACATAATGATGTATAATTCTTCATGTAATTTAACTACATTATTTTGAAAAAAAAATAAGCCCTTTTTTCAGCATTTGAGTCAGTACCACTTTTTTAGTAAAGTAAATGGTTGGTGACCTCCGCCATATGTGAGGAAAATTGGGTGAAAACATTTGATGCATTTAGCTGCTAATACATGTGTAAATCTTTTAAAACTTGACATGCAGGTTAACAGTTGTTTTCCTCATTAATTACAAAACATCTAACATAGCTGGGTGACGCCACAAGGGGCCGACTCTCTAAACCTGAGAGACAAAACCCCTCAGGAGATGAGTCAAAACAAAGCCAAGTGTTGTTTTTTACTGTCCTTTGAGGGAGACAGTTTTTGTCCTACATGTGACAAAGTGTACCTAACTTTTAGGCGAGCGGCTCAAACTCACAAAACGTCCCCAAAACGTCACAGGCCATGTTTTACGATGAAGCCTGCCCTCAAAAACCATTCACTGAGGGACTGAGGGTTTATTTAAATTCTGTCAACTGAATGCAGATTCTGACCATCATCGGGATCTGCAGCGTGGAACTTGGGAGTGTGTGATAGATGGGGTGTGTTTGTGAGTGAGGTCATGGCTCCTGCAGGTTGGAGTTTGCTGAGGGGACAGTCCGCAGTCTTGGCCAGGATCCCTGTTTTGGGGATCATGTTCTCCTCAGTCAGGAAGAAAAGTCTTTGCTGACTCCTGCAAACCCCAACCTCAACAAGCCTTCGTCTGTGTATTAACCCAGTCATGAAAATCAGAGTTGGAGGACAATGATCGTCTTCATAAAGACTTTTTGGTCAGCAGTTGGTACTGGTTTAATGGCTTTAGAGCAGGGGCGTCAACATTTTCACCACAGGGCCACCTCAGCAATACGCCTTGAAGGGCTGCTTACAAATGGAAGACTGTATAGATGTAACTACTCCATAACAAATTAATCAATGTTTCAGCAAATGATTATTATTTAGTCAACTCACAAATATTGGACCTCATTAAACATTTTTTTAAGCCTCCGCTGGCTTAAATGGTGGGCCGCATTTTGGTTCGGCGGGCCTTGAGTTTGACACATGTACTTTAGAGGAAGACAGCTAGGCCACCAGTTCCCCAGGGAAATTTCTCCTATTTCATAGATGGGTTAAATACAAAGGCCAGATTTCATTGTGTGTGTATTTGTGTGTGTGTGTGTGTATATATATATATATACACACACACACACACACACACACACACACACACACACACATATATATGTATATGTATATATATAAAAAAAAAATAATAATTACGTCTTCTTGTTAAGGATCAAGCATGTGAAACCTGAACGTGCAATTCGGGAAACATTGACGAGCTGTCACGCGTAACAAGTTTCAATTTCGTAAAACAGCTGCCAAACAGCACAGATCTTACCTTATTGTGTCATCCATCAGTCGGTCTGAGCTGAGGACAGGAAGAGAAAAACAATGGAAGCTTGTTAGTTACCAATATGAGCAATATAGAAAACACTTAAAAAATAAACAAACCAACAAAAGCAGAAAATGAAGAGCCTGGAGACCATCGACTCAACAACTGACAACGTTACAAAAGTAATCACACACGCATTGCACGACTCATGCCGTAAAATTGAATTAGATAAAGCATACATTGTCCCCTATGTGGGGGGGGGGGCAATGTATGCAAACACTCACACTAAAAACCAGTGTATATATAAATTGATCCAGAAACGTGTCTCGTCTGTTTGTACCCTATGAGTAAATCTCCCCTGAGGTTTATTATTATTTTCCTGGGGGTGTTAACAGGGGTTTTTCTGGGGTTGTGGATGAAAGAATTACCAAGTTTTACTTTTTTATGAAGTTTGATGGACCAAAGAAAACCCCACAGAGAATTCCATCTGAGAGACAATGAGCTTAACCTCTCTCATTATTACCAAAGAGGGAGTGTCAGATGTTTGTTTCTGACCAACAGGGAATCCTGGGAGGGAACACACACACACACACACAAACACACCCAACCACGTATCGTGTCTCAGGTTGCTCATAAACAACAATGCTCTCAGCGGTTTATCCCCTAATTGGAATCAATTTGGATAATGTCCCTGAGAAACAAAGCAAAGTAAACACACAAAACTGCAGGTATTGTATTTCATATTTCAACAACGACTCGGTCGCCAAATATTCCCTTTTATGTGACCAGGCAAGTAAAGAATATGTAAACACAGGAGGTATAAAATTCATGTTTAAAATACACTTAACCCAAAAACATCTCTCACATTAAACCAAATACGTCCTCACATATGAGCCAAAGGCTTCTTTAAAACAAGTGACCAGTAGACATTTTTAAACAAATGAAAACTGTCATGGACCGAGTGTCAGTAGAAACTCATGTCCAATGCTACCGTGCAAGCCTGTAAATCACACCAACAAGAGAAAAGAAGAGAAAGTGGTGTGAGCCGAGGTGAGTTCTTATTCGTGGGGATTTTATATGCATGGGGGAGGGAGGGTAAGATTTATGGGTTTTTCTGTCAGCTTCATCTTCAAGCCGCTGCAGCACTGGTGATGTGGAGCTTTTACTGCGGTGCTCATGTACGGAAACAAGCGTGTTTTTTTTTGCTCTTTGGCGTGACCACCACTGTTCTGTAGCCAGTTAGCCAATGAGCCTATTTGCTCCAAGCAAATTGTCTAGCCCATCATGATGGATAAACACACCCTGTCCACACAGAATCATTGGAAAAGAATTAAAGGAAGTCTTTAAAAATTAGAGGTTAATATGTCCATAAAAATATTGTTCAAATGTTAAGCATTGCTCAGAGGACTGGTAGGATGGTTTCTATTCAACTGCAAATTCTGAACATTTTTTTAAAAATATTTTGGCAGCTAACTTAACCATCTTGGATCATCAACACTAACTCAAACTAAAGAGCAGGAGATTAAAAATTGATCCTGGCATCTATCTTAATACATTTAGCAGAAAGTAAACGCAAACTGGCAACAACCTGACCCCTTTAGTCATTTGTTAATTAACTGGCAGGTAGAAGGCTCTTTATAGTGATTTAGCTTATTGAGGATCAGCTTTAAAGACACAAACTCAGACAAAACCAATGTTGAAAAACGTGTATTCGTCACTGTTTTTCACTACCTACCCAAAAAACAATGTGAAAAAAAAAACATTACTTGTATTTTATACAGCTGATGCAGTAAGTTACATCTAATCAGCAACAGTCCATGTCCACGGTTTTTTATCAACAATTAAGCAAAAAACAGCAGTAACATTTAATCACAAAATATTAATCACATATAGAACACTGAAAAAAAGAGGACGCCTTTTTATTCTGATATTTTGTCTGTAGTGAACGAGATTTCCTTTAACTCACTATAAATGTCATCACGTCATAAGATCATTCCTATTCCAAACATTTTATAATTAAATAATTTGGTCAAACAATTTGAATTTTTAACACGATAAATCACAGGCTAGGATTTAGATTCATCACAATTAATCATGGAGTACGGGTGTGTACTGGCAAGAATCTGGTGATACAATATGTGTCACGATACACGGGAAACTGTCAGCATAGTAAACACACAATGCTGTTCCATCCTAACATCAGGGACTGAAATTGGAACAGAGGGATCTAGATTTGTAATAGGTAGAGAAGAAATCAGCGAAATAAAAAATGAACCAGCGCCATGAACATTTGCATGTAAATTGTTAATAAAAAAAATAGATACAGTACTGTAGAATATCGCTAAGGTATTGTGAAACAAAATATCACAATATTGTGGCATATCAATATTTTGTTACATCCCAATCAAGAGTGTAATCAATTGAGAATAATCTTGATAAATCAACATTTCTAAATATCACAATAAACTGGATATAAGTCTATGAATGGGGAAATTATTACACATACACAGTACATCATTTTGTTCATGTGTTAATCATAAAAAAAGTTTTTAAAAAGTGTTAATTTATCACAGCCCTAGTATTTATAAAAAGAAAACTTTTGCTATTTAAGCATCAATACATTCATTAAAAAATGTACTTGTGCAAATCTTATTTTTCCACTAAAGTTTTATAAAACACAGATGCCCTGGTGGGTGGCTTTCTACCGTTGCTCTGGTCACAAATGCGTTTTAACCACTTTGCAGGCTTCATTTCCAGTTTTATGTCTCTAATACAGTCAATTGAGTGCAACTTGATCTCCATCCTCAATGGCATATCACTGCTCCCATCTTTGTAATTATTTAAGGGTATTCCCACAATATGGGCGTGCTTTTATAGGATAATATGATTATTAGGCTTCCTGAGCCATTATGAAGTGATTATTAGAAGAGCCACAGAAGTAGAAATTGCAGCTGGCTCCCCCAGGGTGGAGGTGGCATAGCCTAATGCATCACTAGAAATTTCTACCATTAAGCTCTGTTAATTAAGTTATTAGTTCGAATACTACTTTAGAATTCCTTTTTGAACTGTCAGGTTCAAAACTGTACATACATATACACAGATATACATACATACATATATATATACATATACATATATACATATATAATTTACAATTATCTCCTTGTTAGTGATAGAAAAAAAATTTACTTGTCAGTAATGCACACTTCATTTATCCCAACACTGCAGTTTATCAGATAATCACATTTATCTTGTTATAATTTCAAAAGTAATTTTAACATCTTAATAAAACTGAGGATTCCCACTTCCTAGTCCTTCTACAAAACAAACAAACAAAAAAATCCCTGTCACTTTGGTTACCTTCTATTTACAGTACACAAACAAAAGCCTTTGGGTATTTAATTACATTAAGAGTTAAACAAAGCAGGTCAGAGCAGGATGAGCCTGTTTAAATTGATATGTTGAGGCAGTACCTCTCGGCGAGGTTGAAATAGTAAACTAACATCAAGCCAAACTACTTGTCCAGAGTACTAGCTGGTGTACATGGGTCTGGAACATTTAAAAAAAAATCTTTCAAATCATCATTTTTAATTTTCCCTAGCACATGAACACCCCGCTGGCGTCCAATTTGAGTTTCCATGTAGGGAGCTTCCCACACACAAGCACATACACACACACACTCACAGATTTCAAAAACCTGCCACCTCGTGCTGTTTTGCAGTTGTTGAAAGTCAGCCAAAAAGTAGAAGGATGCTATAGTGGGGAGCTGGCAGGTCAAAGTCTGACCAACTGTGTCAGTCTGTATAACTTTTTAGAGCTTAAAGATGTGGCTGCCACAAGATGTGGGCAGCAGTAGTATTTTGTCAACTCCTTTAGAATCCCTTTAGCGTTCTGAGACACACACTGGAGCTTTGCGAAGCAAGAACAGGTAGAAGCAATAATATTCTAATTTAATCATGAATGTTTTTGCTGCTGCACCATTGAGTTCAGTCATTATGTATTTCATTTTACCCTGTAAATCATAGAGCTGGACTCTTGATAACTTAATTTTAGTTTGTAGAACTTTTTTTATACTGATTTGTCTGCAAAAAAAATGCAAAACTCTTACTTCCTCAGATGTTCGTGCTCCTTCAGGAAAAGCTCTGTTCTTCTGTTGTTGACCCCGGAGCCGCTCTTGTATGTCCTACAAAGGGAAGTTCAAATATAAATATATGTATATTTACATGCAAAACTCATTTCAGACATTTTAGAGCTTGGAAATACTCTATGAGCTACATAATCCACTTAATGAGACAAACTGCTTAAATTTACATCAACATCAGTGTAGAGTGAACAAATAACCTAATACTCCTTTATGGACTCTGGAGCAACAGGAGGGACCCCACAAGTAGACTAGGACAACACACACCCTCAAATAAAGACCAGGCATCAAACCAGCAAACCAGTGGTCTTTTTGCTAAAGGTCAAACAGAACCAACCACTCTTGGTGGCTCTGGTTACTAATTCACTGAAACCAAATTACCAGAAAAACACCTCTTATTGTCAGAGAAACAAAATAATATTGGAAAAAAGAAATTCTCCAAGTAATAAAAAACAGTACTTTTCTAATTTGGCTTCACATTTAGCTAGAAAAATGCTGTAAACGGTGACGCTCCAGTCTTTAAAAAAAATGTCCATGTAAAATTACACGAAAAATTACACTATGTGTTTTCTGTAGAGTTAAAAAAACGTTTTGCCGTAATCAACTTGATCTACTGACTTAAAAAGCAGTGACGTACTTCCTGTGTAGACTGTTGGTTATAAAGTATGAGACGGCGCCAATGTCACTGAAACCCTGCATGGGTTTTGCAGTAAAAGCCTTCCTGTGGTTCACTAGTGGAAAGCTTTTAATGCAAAGCAGTTACAGCAGGAAATATTTATTTTGAATTAGCAATGACTTAACACAGCAAGTGCAGGTCCTGCGTGGTTGATGTGTGACTGACTGAATGGGAGATAAGATGGGAAAGAGGGAGAGAAAATACCCAGGGCTTCTACCATGTCCGTAGACTGGAGTCAGGTCTCCGTCTGTGCAAACTGAATATCAGTAAATCAAACATGGCATTTGAGGAAATAGATGGAGATCCTGTTTAAGGCAGGTCTGTAACACATCCATAGCCGTTGACCAACAATCAACTGCAGCTCAACTGTCACTGAGGCTACGTTCACACTACGGGTCAATTCTTCTATTTTTTCTTGCGGATATCCAATTGTTTAGCATAGTTGTTCACATTATGATTTAAATGTGACTGCCATCAATTTCCAGTGTGAACAGTCAATGGCCCTGAAGTGACATGCATGTGCGGCAGAAGACATGATGTTACATGCTGAGTTCGTGGAAGTTAATACGATGTTACACATGTCACAATGTCTGTATTAATTTGTATGTTGCTGTGTGTCAGCAAGTATAATAACCTTTCCATTGATGGGTGACTCTTCACTTTGGCTGCCACATACGGCATTCTCTCTAATTCAACTGTATTTGTATATTTGTTTTGTATCCACCGTGATCCACTACCCCCCGACCCCCACCATCTCCATCAGCACTGTGACATCTGTCTCACTTCATTGACATAAAGGTCAGAGGAAATGCGACATGAAGGTTCTAACTGAGGTCAGACATCAAATGCAATTTATGGGAGTTCACAGGCATTTAAAAAAAAATAAGATATGGGTCATATATGAGCATGCTTTATAAACAGATTTGGGCCACTTTCCTCTGCTGAGTGAAACGTAGTAGAAGTCTTTGACATATATTTAGTGTATAATGTACGGTTTCAGGCAGCACACAACCACTGTGGACTGAAGAATTTAAACATGAATAATACATATCAGCAGTAATGGAGCAACACAACCAAAGCATACAAACTACAGGGTTATTGGTTCTTGAAAAATCCCTAAATTTTGTACTGGGAATGTGAAAAGCGGTAAGAAAAACATCTTGTGAATTCTGTTTTTGTCCGTCTGATAATGAGCTGACTTTATCCTCCTATTAACCACTGATGAGCAATAATGGAAGGCTAATCTGTGCACTCACAGAGTTAACACATCACGCCACCAGTTCTCTTCTGCTTTATGTAACTCTAGCTTTCAGCATCTCTGAACAGCTGACTCCCACTTCTCTCCTGGGTTCCTGGTCATTTAACAGCCCCACCCCACTGATGAGGAGTGGAGGAGTAGATGAAGAAAAAGGGAGGAGGAAAAGGAAGAGGAGGGGAGACCTGTGTAACATAAGAGTCTGCGCACACACACACACACATACATACAGTAACATAAACATCCTACCCCACCCATCCAAGCTGAGCAAGAGCAAATGTGCCTACTTTATCTCTAGTGCACCATCACTAGCCACTGTATGGGAAACACTATGTAGAGTGCACCAGCAGCAGACTCCGCCGTGGGTGTGTGGGTGTGTGTGTGTGTGTGTGTGAGAGAGAGAGAGCTGTCAGCCTCACAGACTGAGGTGATGCTTGTACTTGTGTGTAGCTTTCTCACTACATCAAACCTTTTTAAAAGGGCAACACTGTAAATCACAGGCTTGTTGTCATTTTTGTTGCTGACATTTAGGATGGGGGGGGGGGTTCAAAGCAGGAGCAGTGGGAATGTTAAGACTGAGCTCAGCAGTCACTCGCAGTGTAAATAAAAAAAAGAATTAAATACATCTTTTTGTATAAAGAAATGCTTACACGCATACAAACATGTCCGCATGCAAAATTACATTTGGCTTTGTTGTGGTGACAGTGCGCAGGCCTGCTGCCAGTTATAGATCTATGTCATACTGCTCATTAAGGTGCGTGCACAAATGTGGGCCTGTGCACTTTCTTTTAATTAGAATTACTATGGATTTTTTGTGAACGCACTGTAGACTGATTGACTATGCATTAAAAAATCTACAATGAACAGTGTATCTGTACAAGGGCTACTGCTCGTACTGGAACTCTACTGCCCTCTGCCTGCCGAGTGAAGCATCCCTACACAGGCGCATATCCCATTACATGTTCCTGTGGCGTGATTGTTATACAGTACATATGACAACATCACCTTAAGGCATCACCCCTCTTACTTTGGTGGAAGTTTTACACTTTTCTCTCCAAACAATATACAATTTGGCTAAAACTGTGCCTGTGTTAATTCCATTATTTTTATTACATTGTTATTTTTGTCAGTCACCATTACAGAGAGCAAAAATGTTACAACGCAGTGATTCTAAAGACACTTTGGAAGCCTTATTATAAAACGTTTTTATGTTTTTTACAATTTTTTTCAATATCAATTAAGTAAGTACGACATAATGCTATGCCGGAAAAAAAAAATAAAGAGCCTCTTATAAAGCATGACTGGACAAATATGCATAACCAGCAGCAGTTGTAATTCCTCCACCTGAGTCAGATGGTTCCCTCATTAGCCGCCCTTTAGCACATTTGTCATCATTAAGGTGAGCAGAGGGTCAACAATTCAGACCCATTTCTATGCATTAGTCTCATCAGCACGGAGCCTATTAGAGGGCAGAGTCACACTTCTTAGCACGGTAACTTAATGAGATGGCAACGTCCTGGCAAGCAATTATGGGTCATGGCACGCCACTATATGATTAACCTTGCAAAAGCAGTGTCCTGGGACACCAGAGCAAAAGAGTAATGCCGTAGCTTTTTCAGGTAATAATACCGTGAAGTGATGAAGGAATCAAAAACATTCTTGAGAGGACATTTTTATAAAATTGTTGTCACTTAAGATATTTTGTTGCTGCAAAAATGTTCCAACAAACCACAATGTTTAATGCATTCATTTTGTACTATGCTTACATGCATAAGCATGTTCCACACGTCAAAGTCTTCATAAAGTCAAAGTAGCCATTTTCCTAGAAAATTTGAATACTGAAACAATTTAGTAATTCATTTTTGGTAAATGGTAAATTAGGTGTGATAAAGGAATCTATTACAAATAATTTTATATTTGACAAAAAAAAACTAGAATCTCTACCTTTTGGGGTTTTTTATAAAACAAAAGTTAAATTGCACTAAAGACTATATGTTAAATTTGGTGAATAAATATTTCTGAAAAAAACATTTGTTTTATAATATTTGGTTTTATAAAAGACAATAAGGTCACAAAACAATAACCTGTGTTTTTATATATAAAAACTAGTGACTTAACTTTTTTTTAACTAATGAAAAGAAAAGAGTATGTTGCTTCATATCTTGCAGGGTTATAGTGAGACCTTTAGCATGTGCACACTTGCAGCTGCAAACCATCTGCATATAGTAGACTGGGATCGATAGGAATCCTGCAGAGCTCACGATACACCCAGCCCAGCATCTTTAGACACAATAAGCCATTACGAAAAAAAAAAACAAAAAAAAAACATAGTCATGGTCCAGGGGAGCCTCCATTACATCTAGTCCAATGACGTACATTACTCTGAGCCAATCCGAGGGGAGGAAACACTTTCTCAATACAAGTCCAACAAGGCCATGAATCTCCTTAGGCTTAATGGTCAGCATTTTTTCAAAAGTGTGTAAGTGAAAGACAAGGTTCAACTATTGAGGTCTACAACACGCGTGAACTATAAATAAAAGTTGTTTAATTTCCCAATGGTCCAGCAGTTATTTAGTCTGCCTTTCTAAAACTCAACTGACTCATTCATTCATATTCTGCAGTCCTTTTCAGGGTCATGGTGGGAGATTGATGTACAACCTAAACCATAGTTTGTCACCTGACCGGACTGTTTGGCAGATCACAATAGGGTCACCATTCACAAACTATTTACATTTCAAATGTCTGAATATCCTAATCTCCAAACTTGCATGTTTAAGGACAATAGAATGGCAATGGAGAACAAGTAGAAAACCTGCACAAGAGGAGAACATACAATCTCCATACAGAAAGATAATTAATTACTACTAAGGACTAGAGCAGTTATCTCCTTGGAAGAAGTCCACTTCTCATTATTCCACCTTGTGGCCTTTTCAGACTTATTTTCAGCTTAATGTTGCTCAGGTGCTAGTGAGATTCTGGCTAAAATAAATCATCCTATTTGCAGTAACCTGCAGTAGATGTTACTAATGGGAAATATTTAATCTAGTTTTCAGGAAATACTGCAGATATAAATGAAATCTAACAAACAGTTTGGATTAATTTGTGTTAAAAAGACAGTTGCGCTTAAGAAATTTGCAAATAAAAAATATTCACTACCAGAAAATAGAATGCCACAATCAGCTATGCCATCTGAACAGATGTGAACAATAAGAATCAAGTACCAAAACGGTGGATTTGACACGCTGTTACACCACTACTAGCTAAAGCAATGTTAAATATGGGATAATGAGAATAATGTGTCTGGATGGTCATATTACCAGAAACTTCTTAAAAATATTATACAGTTCAGTTTCTATACTGGGTTTAACCATCACAATGGCATAAGGCCTATTATTAAACCATGTAAGTAAGTTAAACAGTACACCACATACTGCATTCACTATACTCTGACACAGGCTGGTGTGAGAAATTACTCACTCAATGTCTTTCCTCACAGATCCTAGAAGATCTTCTCTCTCCCTTATGGCCATAAAATTGTTTTTGGTTTTGTGGAACTCATGTGTGTAATCCTGAGAGGTAAAACAAACAGAAGCACATTAACACACACATTGTTTACAGTAACACCATGTGAACCATACAATGTAGTTAGAGATAATGGAAGGTGAGGACAAACCTGCAGGATGTCTCTGTGTCTCTGAAGTGTGTGCATAAGTGCAGCATTGATTGTAGCCGTCCCCGGCCCATTGGTGTACTCGGCCATCTTGTCATTTACTGCAGTCAACTGATATGTAAACGATCGAAATCAACAGAGTATTGACAAACAAAAATAAAATGCAGCGCATAAGGCATATGAACCTGGACATGTTACAATATTACATTGAACTCACTTTTGCCAGTAATTGTTCGATCTCCACTGACATGGTGTCAAACATCCTGTCCTGTGTGGAGTTGTTAAGCAGTGGAGTCGTGTCTGACCTTCAAGAACAAAAACATCCCAAAGAGAAGTATTACGGAAACATTCATACTCCTAATCGCATTATTGTCATAGTGTGAATTACAAACTCACGTTTCTCCTCGACGTCCATCCCTGGAGCTGCTGTAGCTGGTGCACAGTTTACTGAAGGAGACCAATTTCAGGTCAAGTTCATTTTCCAACTGTCTCGCCTGCTTTCGCAGATCTGTAACATATTATGCATGCAAATATGCACATACATATAAACACTAAGAAATCTATAGCCATACACATATATCTGTTAATATTTTCTGCTTAAATACAAAATACTTAAAATACACACTCCAACATCACACCAGTTTTAGTGTATCAACACTGGCTGGGAGTCAGTTTTAGAATTGATTTTAAGATTTAACTGATAACTTTTAAAGGCCTCAGTGGCCTGGCTCCAAATGACATATCTGATCTTTGAACGTCCAATGAGCCAGTCTGCAGCCTTAGATTCTTAAGTGGGGCTTTTTTTGTCGATCCAAACTCCAGGCTCATATCTAAAGTTGATCAGGCCATTTCCATCAGGGCCCCTCGACTTTGGAACGACCTGCCCCTGAAGATAAGTCTGAAATGATGTAACTGAAAGTCCAATCTTATAACCCATTTTTACAGACTTAATTGATCTTCATCATTTCGTTCTGTTGTTATTCTGTTATCTTATCTACACCTGTTGTACTTTCATGCCAACTTTCATTATTTTATATTAGCTTATTCACAGTAATGTGTTTTATTTGTTTTTATCTGCAGTTTGCATTTACAAAATGTACTCTTCTGGTCTTGATTATGGCCAGGTTTTGCCTGTTATGCTTTTCTGCTGTTTTGCTTGGGTGTATTCTGTGATTTTATGCAGTTTTTGTAAACCTACATATTTCTAAAGCGCTACATGAATATGTTATTATTATTACAATACAATTAATATTCTTAATGAAAAAGCTTCACACTGGTGGCCTGATATTTCGGAAGTGTAGTAGCAACACAATATTTTTTCAGTAGCAGAAGCAAGACTTTTTCCTGCGGAAGATTAAAAAAAAAAAAAGCAACAGATTTGATTACATATGTACCCAGATGACAGAAGCCCAGATGACCATTGCAAGAAAAGTAGAGCACACCAGCACATTCAGAGGCTGACGTGCTGGTGTTTCACCCACCTGACCTCTTGTGTGACTCATTCCACATCATTCCACCTGCAAACATGCGTTAATCAGGCACCAGAACCGATCACAGGAACTTTCACTTCAAACTTTCTCCCACTTTGTCACAGACAGTGTCTATGACACACCACTTTCCCCAAAACTAAATGAAATGGAACAGTTTCAACCGTCTTTTTCACATGGACCAAGTCAATTTAAATTGAATTAAATTTATAATGTAATTAACATGCATTTTAAATGCCGCGCTGTTGATTCTTATTAAAGTACACAACCAAAACTGTGACGAAGGAAGACAACCTTACACAGTGTTCTTGTTATCAGTGTGAATAGACACATCTTTTTGTTTTAAGTAATTAATAGATTAATAGTAATAGCAGCCCTGATATTAATAACATACTTCTCTCCCTATTTCTGTTGGCTTTTCTCAAACTCCGACTAACTGCGTCCACCGTTGCGTATCTTGTTGTTATGTTGAGTTGTTTACTGTAACTTTAGTATCCGGATATTTTCCTCCACGAATAGTCTAACCAACCTGTATCACTGGGGAGAATTAAAGCGGTATCTGCTTATTGGCAATTAAACACCACAACAGATGAAACAGCTTCGACTTGACAAACGTTAAAGGCAGGATTTAAACGCCGCAAACAAGTCAACGTGTTAGCCACTGTTAGCTTAAGCAGGCTCTGTAGAGATTAATGCGTTGAAAGTATAACATGCGTATTCATTAGTGAAAAGGCACGGAATTTTGACTAATAAAAATGCTGTTGATCTGACGAATGTCGTACTTGTTGTAATATCGAGTGTCATGACTAAATCCAGTCAAAGGTTGTTTTCCTACCTTCCCAATAGCTGCTGCTTCCTATTCCTGCCATCTTTGTTGTCCTGCAACGTCACCCACTTCCGTGTCACGTGTCCGGAAAGACTTTGCTGTAAAAGATGACGTAAAATGGTAGTTTTGTCGCCCTTAGCCGACATACAGTTGCTCTTACATACAGTTATTGATTTAATATTTGAATGTTTTCTGTTTGAGACTTCGCACAACAACGCATCATGTAAAGAAAATTACCGGTAGGTAAATGTTTAATCTAACATTTGATGATAATAAAATGATTCCACGCAGATTATAAAATTATTGTGATATTGACATTGACATTTTTAAGACGGACTTTTGTTATATTCACGTAATACATTCTTGAAAAAATGTGTGCAACAACTTTCAACTTTGACAAGTTAAAATGAAATTAAAATAATGACTATGACTACAAGTGTATAAAGCTTACACTGACTAAGAACAACTCTTATTTTAGACTCAACAGTTAACTTATATTTTTGCCTGTCATAATGAGTAAGTTTTCAGGCCTCTACCTTCATCAAAAAGTGAAATGTAGATCAGCGGGAAAACCTATTTATCCCCCTTGGGGCATAACCTAAATTTATAAAAGTTTTCTCTTAATTTGTCATTTATTTGAGTTTTTACAGCAGGTTTCTTACAGCAGACTAAGCACAATTATTCTACCAAAAAGATTTGGTAGAAGTAGAGAGACCCACTCACTAGGAAAACAGCACAAAATCAATGTAGAACATAGGTTTCACTGAATGGCCGCATAAAATTATAAAGCTGATCATTACAGGGTTTTTTTAAAGGTCAAATTACATTTTACCCATATTTTTTACTGAAATTATGCATCCCTTTGTTTCACTACAAAATGTTTTTGTATCTAACAATTTAAATTAAGAACATGATACTGTATAATTCAGTACATCTTTTCAATATGGAATATATTTTCACAATCAATTTAGTTCTAGTTCACACTAGATTTCTTTTACTGGGTTACTCACAACTATTAAACATATATCCTGTTCTATCTAATAATTTTTCCATTCAGAAGAATTACATGGTGCAACATAGACGCTGGCCACATGTTGTGAAACATTTTGATTTATTCCATCAATGTTTATGTAACATGTATGTGATCACAGAAATTTAAATGAAAATGTATTTGTAGCATAAAGAGCCAAGCTTTACTTTAACTCAACTTTCTCTGCTCATTTTATTTTCGAACATTATTTACATTTGATATAAAATATTCACATCAACCCAGCAGAGACCATGACACACTCCCATCTTTCAAAGTTCATACACAAGTATTCAGGAGGAAACAAAATGTGCGCATAATGGTGTTTGTTAAAATATCTTAATGTCCCATTAGTTTGGAGGAAATTTCTGTTGAGGGGGAAAAGAAAAAAAAAAAACAACCTACCCATCATTTCCTATTACAGAGCCAGTGCATCAATGGAAGAACCACACTGACTTGACATGTTTTGGTTCAGCCTCAGTTACTGGAGCAGGTTTAAATTAAATTTCAGCATGACTTATATTTAGATGCTTTGAAAATTTTACACATTCATTTGATTCAATTAATTTAATTATGTGCAGTCTTGACGCCGACTCACACACAGTTGCTTATTTACAGCCATAACCTTTACCTGCTCTTATACAAATTCCAGTTGCAAATAAAACAAAAAATCCAAAAGAAACCCTAAAGAAAACATAATATGCCATTTACTGAGAAACAACACAAAGTATACATATTCAGTCAAAACAGTTCACAATTTGAAATTCATTAAGCACATGTCGCACCAACACAATTGAAAAGAACACATTCATTGTTTTAAACATTAAGGTTTGATTCTTGGGCAATAACATGGAATAATTGCTCTACAATTAGTGCAAGTGACTGTGCTTACAGAACAGAGCACTCTCCACAAACTCAATGGTAACATATTCATCTTTTAACACATTCTTATCAGATCACCTGACACCAGACGTCACCTCAGCAAGCATTCTGTGCAGAAGAGTGAAACATTGGGATTTTGCACGTTCTCCATTTCAATTGTCAAATTTCCAACTCAAGCATGCGTTTCCTCA